TTGTTAGTGTGGAACACCTGCCGTTTGAATGGGCACCTTATCCCCTCAGCAAATTAAAACAAACAATAGCCAGTAGGGGGCTGCCATATCTGTGAACTCCACCTTGTCAGTGTGACCGGAGGTTTGATTGAGTTTCTAGAGGAAGCAGGACTTAGTTAGCTCCCTGGGTTGTTAACACGTACTGTAAAAAACTGACACGGTGAGGATTGAAGTTAAGGATAGAGAGAGAGGGGAGGAAATGTGCGGTGTTATTAGTGGGATTACATTGCAAGCAGGTGAGAGGATACGAGACGAGAAATCTACAGAAGAGGGAACTACTGGGAGATTAGGGCATGTGAAAACGGAAAGAGAGTGACGTGGAGAGACTGGGAGAGTGAGAATTTGTGGGAACGCTGTGTGTATGTATAGAATTGTGGAGAAGTTAAAAGATCAAGGGAACATGATGCATTAAGATTTCTGAGTTCAATGCAGGAGAAACTTTGTACTGGTTATTTTTTAATGCAATTACAAGTAATGGGAACTGAAACTGAAAGGCTGTTGACTACTTTAACTAAACCAGTGAGACCTCATCAGAGCCAATCAGTCCTAACTCAGTACTAACTATTTGTAAATAAAAGCTGCAGTCGTTTTATACAATAGCTTGTATATGCAATTAGATCTCAACTCTTAAAACACACTGCCACAAGGGCCTTTCGCACCGCGGGAACCTTTTCAAAGTACCAGAATTAATTGTGGAACTACCCACTTTTTGGCGTTTTCGCACCGCCGGAACTGGGTGCGATTTTAGTACCGGACTGCCTTTTTCGAGAACCAAATTAGCTCCTACTACGGAGCAGGGTCTAACCAGCACAACTGGTACTAATCGCGACGCAAGTAGACATTGATTGGCCAAACGCGTACGAAAACGCCCTCACCCAACTAAAGCGGTGCGAAAGGCCCTATAGTCTCTTAGGCATTTGATTCAAAAATACAGTAAAAACTATAATATTATGAAATATTTTTACAATATAAAATAAGTGTTTTTATTTGAATATGTTTTAAAATGTATTTTATTCCTGTGATCAAAGCTGAATTTTCAGCATCATTACTCCAGTCTTCAGTGTCACATGATTCTTTAGAAATCATTCTAATATCCTGATTTGCTGCTTGAGAAAATTTGTATTTTTTAATTGTACTGAGAACAGTTGAAAACAGTTGTTCTACTTAATATTTTTGTGGAAACCATACATCCTTTTCAGGATTTTATGAATAAAAAGTTCAAACAAACAGCTTTTATTTGAAATATAAATCATTTTTAACATTAAAACTGTGTTTACTGTGACTTTTGATCAATTTTAATGCATCCTTGCTGAAAAAAAGAAAACTGAATTTTGGAACAATGGTGTACCTCAATAAAGATGACAATCAACAAACCCTTTTAAGTGAAATAAGCTCTGTACATTACCACACAACCAATAAGTGACGATACAAACAATAACAAAAACAACACCGTAAATAAAGTCAGCAAAAAGTAAAGCAATAATACCAGTAATCTCTTAATTTATTCATGCTGCAGTGCATGGTGGGAGCTCTCAAACTCTTAACATGCTTCATCAGCAGTTGTTCAGACAACTCTAGGCCAGTTGGGACAACATTTTTGGGAATATTTTTGTTTAACATTTTTGTCGATTCAGGTAATTCACATTTTTCTTTATTTGTATGCCCAAAGGTGGGTGTGAAAGATACTGTCATGGTTGGTTTTCACAGCAGGTAATAGCTGCAGCGCAAAACCAAGTGTGCTACCTACATAGACATCACCATCTTTCTACACACAAAAATGCTGCCTAGGTTTTGAAACACAGCCGACGTCTGGGAGAAGATCATGTTATGGAATCCAGGGTCTGTAAATGGCCTGTCCCCTGTAATATGTTTCCTATATGGCTCATATTAGTTTGCTTGATGTGCGCTTTGTGGTTCTGGGGAAATCTTTTGAAATCCAATATGCCTTTAAATCAGATTTATAAATGTTTATGTATATTATGAGAAAACACACTGAGACGGCCCGATGTTAGTGCGTAAGTGTATGCGTGTGTCATTATATGTCACTGTATATTTCTCAGCGTTAATCTTTTCAGTGTGGCGGAGCTCCAGTAAACAGCGCCCACAGAGGAAGTCCATAGGCATGTATACTCATTTCGGTGAATGTATATACAATTTCAGACACGCTTGAAACAACTGATAAAACAGTCTGGGAAAAGGATAAAGTATTGACTAGAGTGGAAAAATACTTAGTTTCGTAATATATAATTCATTCAGATGCAAGAGGAGACGTTTTCCAAACACAAATGTTTCCATGCAGTCTGTCTCTCTAGCAGTTTATTCCCATCTTCTCATTCGCTTTGCTTACATACAGTGCAAAACATCATTCCTCAGACATTTTTTGAGGCTTTAGCTGTCTTGTTTTTGTATGGAAAAGAAAAAAAAACATACCTGGGCAAAGACTTTAGAAATACCAAGACTCATGCCCTCGTTTTACTATGAATGGGAGAAAGTGCAACACGCACTATGGCAGAATAGTCCCGCCTTCTAAATAAAAGAGCCAATGGTGTCACTTTAACTCCAGTTGCAATGTGAAAAATGTTGCTGCAGTTAGTTATAGCAACTTATAATGTGTTGAGATAACTTAAATCTTAACTAAAATATAGTTAACTAAATGTATAATTTTAAGTTAAGCATGAGACAACACATTATTACTTATTTTAAAGGGGTCATATGATGCGATTTCAAATTGTCCTTTCTCTTTGGAGTGTTACAAGCTCTTGGTGCATAAAGAAGATCTGTAAAGTTGCAAAGACTAAAGTCTCAAATCCAAAGAGATATTCTTTATAAAAGTTAAGAGTCAACCACGCCTACCTAAAACGGCTAAACGCAAGTTCTCTCACGCAAAGAAAGAAGGCGTAACTTTTATTCTCGCTGTAGTATTGTTGTTGCCGCCGCTGCCATGTCGTGAAGGCGCTGTGTGTTTCGTTGTGAAAGCGAAACTACTTTGTTTGGCCTTCCAAAAGAGGACAATATATCCGCTTCGTTATGCCTAGAGCTGATCCGTGCTGGGCACTGAGGAAATACATCAACTTCGCGCTGTCGATCGCCGGATCGGCTTTCACCGTGGACGAAGCGGAGTCCAGCCCGGAGCCGTATTAAAGTTGTTAACTAATTTCAGCAAACATTTTTTTTACAGTGTAGAAACCAAGTGTGTCGTACACGTCCTGAAATGTGAAGCCACAAAAGTTTGATTGCCATCTGGTGGCTGGCTGCAATATACTGTAGGTCATAAATCCCGCCCTCTTCATGTAAACGAATGGAACGTAAGCCAAACTAAAAAAAAATCAAATTACATTTTAAATACATTTTTCCACTACTGGTCAGACCAAATGAATCACTACTGCACAGACTCGGGCTCCAAATGAATCACTACTGCTCTGACTCTGGCTCCAAATGAATCACTACTGCGCCGACTCATCCAAATGAATCACTACCGTGCCGACCCGGGCTCTAACTGAATCACTACTGTTCCAACACAGGCTCCAAATGAATCACTACTGCTCAGATTCTGGCTCCAAATAAATTACTACTGCGCCGACCTGGGCTCCAAATGAATCACTACTGTGCCGACTCGGGCTCCAAATGAAGCACTACTGTGCAGACTTGTGCTCCAAATGAATAACTACTGTGCCGACCCGGGCTCTAACTGAATCACTACGGTTCCAACATGGGCTCCAAATGAATCACTACTGCTCAGACTCTGGCTCCAAATGAATCACTACTGCACTGAGTCAGGCAGGCTCCAAATGAATCACTACTGTGCCGACTCAGGCTCCAAATGAATCACTATTGTGCAGACTTGTGCTCCAAATGAATCACTACTGCGCCAACTCATCCAAATTAATCACTACTGCGCAGATTCAGGCTCCAAGTGAATCACTACTGTGCCAACTTGGGCTCTAAATGAATCATTACTGCACTGACTCAGGCTCTAAATGAATCACTACTGCGCTGACTCGTCCAAATGAATCACTACTGTGTTGTCTCGGGCTCTAAATGAATCACTACTGCGCCTACTCGGGTTCCAAACAAATCACTATTGTGCAGTTTCGGGCTCCAAACGTTACTGGCACGAGATGATAGTGGCCATACTGGGATGTTTTGGCTTCATGTTCCTATAGTGGAGGGAAGTGGAGATGCATCGTAAATCTTTTTTTACAGTCAACAGTTGAAGCAGTTAGTTATGTTCTTAGGACTGCACATCCACATTGGCCAGACCAGCCTGAAATATAAGCTTTTTTATCACTATTTAAGCATAGGAAGCAACATTTATGGCACAGTTCACATCACATTTTGTTCCTGGTTTGAAATATGGTATTTAACTGTGAGTACAGCCAGCAGTTTTTGAGATTTCAGGATTTCCCCATTCAAGTAGATCGGACTCATTGTTGCATGCCCGGAATAACTGCCCGGAGGCGTTGCAAATCATGGCTGTTGAGTAAACAGACTTTCCTTGAAAGGGACTTTGACCCAGTTAAACATATTAAGAAAATAATTGCATTGTATAGAGTTATTGTACATGCAGAACAGAAAAGGGCAGGTGTACGCTGACGTGACCCCGAGCCGTGCACGAGAGCGTGTGTATGGGAACGTTTAGAGTGGAGGCAGCTCAATAGCAGCATGCTGAAAGGGAGTCGCCTCCAGCACAGTGAATGCGAGGCATTCGGCCTCTCAGACTCAGTATTCCACAGCATGACACTAATGCTCCCTGGCAGACGCCAGCTTTGAACAGCATTGCCCTGCGGGCATCTGGTGCGAGTCGGGGCTGTCGAGGCACTGCCAGGGAGCCTCTGTATTTAAATTCTCTGTTTACTGACTCTGCTGTGAGCTGAGACTTGAAAAATCATGTTTGAAAGCATAAGTGAAATGAAAAGCTTTTAACTTTTTTCTCAATCCCTCTCCCTTTTTTTTCTTTCCAGGGATCTGGACCGGAATAACATTACCCGGATCACCAAAGTGGACTTCTCTGGCCTCAAGAACCTGCGCGTGTTGTAAGATGTCATTCTGTATCTCTCGCTCTTACAGTTAATCCTTCCTTTAACTCCCAAGTTCCCCTCCTCTTCCGTGTTGTCTTTACAGTCAAAGCCATCAAAGGGTTCGAGGCTGAAAGCCGGGAGGATTACGGCACAAGTCATAATAAAACAAACTGACATTTAAGCTGAGTAAATCCGACACATTTAACATGACCCTGTGACTGAACCTCGCATGAAGTCATTGCCTTAGATGCAGTCAATCTTCAAACTTGTTCTTAAGTTTGAAGAATATGTAACAATATATTCCATTCCAGAAACTTGAACCTTTAGAATAAATAAATAACGGACGGTTGCTCGGAGAGGTGCAGGACAGTGGTGATCTCCTCTGGAGAAAGTGTTCTTTCAGCTTAATGACTGTAATCATGCATTTCTCCGTGCTGTTTTCTTCCTGAACGAGAGCCCGTAAAGAGAGTGGAATGGAGATAAAAATAAACAAGTGAAAAAAGAGGAGTAAAATAAACGCCCAAGAGAGCAGTCGTAAGCCGAGGCAGTGGCTGGCGGGCAGCACCGAGGCAGTTTAAGGTGGTTTATGATTAACAGTCATGGCATGCACCAAAAGCTGCCTCTCCCTGGGCCCGGTGAACAGCCTCGGCACCCTCTTATCTCTCTGGAAGGTCCAATCACACCTATGCACTCTCCCACGCATTAGCTTCACTGTGACATTAATTTTCCCATGCTAAAAGAAGTGAGAAGTGTAAGCTGCACTGTGTTTTATTATTTTTTAATAATAACGTTAATAATTAATAATATTAATTATAATTAATAATTAATAATGTATTATTTTTAAATGTAGGTTTTTGGGTAGTCACATCATAGAACATTTTACAACCTGAACTTAACTTGCCTTGTCATAACAGACAAATAATCTTACATTATGGAATTTTTTAAATGACTTTAAGATACAATTATGAGGCTCTGCAGGGTTTCCCTTTATGAAATCACTTCATGTTTTATTTTTTCTGTATGAGTCTGCATGTTGGTTGCACCACATGACTTTGAAATGCATGACAAATGTTTTTCAAACTATTATTATTATTAGTAGTAGTAGTAGTATTAACAGTATTATTATTATTATTAATATTAATATCATTATTATATTTTGTGAAAATATTTTTCCTAAGAAGTATACAATAATTACTTGGACAAAAGATTTGGATAGTCTTGGAACAAAGATCTTTCCCACCCAAAAGCCCTCAGAGAAGTGCAATCAATCAATCAATCAATCAATCAGAGTTATTAATTCATAAATATTAAAACGTTTTTGGAGAGTCGCACCACATGACATTTCATAACCTGAATTAACCTTGCCTTTTCATAACCCAACATGGGTTATGAAATAACCCAGCATATTACCCCCAGCATGTGTCTGCATTTTGGTTGCACCAAGTGACTTTTGATTGACAAATGTTTTTTAAACATTCATTGGCACTGAGCAGTTTTGTTAAATGTTATTATTATTATTGTTATTATATTTTTGTTTCCTAATTAATAAACAATAATTAGATGTTGAAATTAAAGATTGACCTTACTTAAAACTTTCCCATTCAAAAGTCCTCAGGGAAGTGCCGTCTGCACTGACCTGGGACCTTCCTATAAACCAGCACTTGGTTATAAATGTATAACAAATACTGTTCCAGCAATACCATGTGTGCTGCCTCACCCTTTCATCAATTGAGAGGTCTTCTGCTCTCCTTGTCAGCCCCTGTGAAAGCATAGGTGTTTGCCTGTGTCCCATATGTTTCCATGCAAAACTTCAAAACATTTCTATAAAGACAAGAAAGACAAAGAACAGAAAGAGGGAGAGATGCTGAAAAATGAAGAAAAAGAACTGTTATTATTCTTCAGCACACACCAAAACCCATCTGGTCGGGATCGAAAGGGATTACGTTTAATGCGAATACATAAACCACGGAGGGGTTGATCCCCCATTTGTAAGAATGAGCCAGATAGTTACTCAGGCTCAGATTTATGTTAGATGCAGACTCTATGATATGTTAGTTATCAGCGAAGAATGCAATTATTACGAACAAATCAATTTAGGCTTGCCCTGTTGGATGGCTTGTGTTTTGGCTTAAAGCTGCGGCATTCATAAAAAAGCCTTTGGCTTAGCCAAGTGTCTCATCTCTTCCTGACAGAATGATATGACAAAACATGGATTATGGCTGTAAAAACAGTTGCGTGTCTAAACATTTGCTTTAAAAACATCATTCATAACCCCAGAAAGCGGAAGTCCACTTTACAGGCACTTTTCTTCAGGATTGTCTCTCTTTTTGGAGGATTGCTTGTATTATCCGGTGCTGTGGCTGTGTGCGTCCTATGCGTGTCACTGCGCGTTTGCCCTGATTCAAAGAGACTCAAATATAAACAAGAAATAGCCATGGAGATGTGCTGTCTTTGTAATGCATCTGGAAAATTTTAAGGGCCCTGAAATATGACAGCGTCTAGAGGAGAGCTCTGAAAATACCCTCCAGTACGTCGTCACAAGCATGCTGGACACGAACGAGGGTCTGCTGAGGCAACCACACACTTCATAAAATCAGAGAGAAATCTGCTCTGGTTTTCATGAGGAAAGCCTGCATGCTTATCATTCGCTGTTGTGACAAAGCGAAGTCACAAAGTCCTCTAGTTCACTTTCAACTGTCATTTCAATCATTCAAGAGACCTAATCAATGTCAGTTGAAGTTGAATCGCCAGAGTTGATTGGATAATGAAGTTCTTTTTTCCCCCCACAGACATCTGGAGAACAATCAAATAAGTGTGATCGAAAGAGGAGCATTTCAGGATCTCAAACAGCTTGAGAGAATGTAAGTATCAAATTGAAGGACTGATTGAACTCGCATGCTGTCCTGATACATATTGCATGTTTCTCTATGTGTGTTTTGGACAAAAATAATTTGTAGCCGTTTATGTGCACCACATTGACCTTGTCAGTTTTAATCTAAAACATCTTCACAAAAGCGAAAGGAACTTTGAGAATTTGAAGGTGACCTCCATAACTTTCATTTCAAGTCCAGCGGGTTTACGTGCTCGTTTGCCCCCTGACATCTGGAGCGCAGCCATTTGCTCTTTTCTGGTGAGAATCTTAACACTTCCCAGTGAAACTTACCATTGGGTCAGACCAAACATGCTAGCTATTACTGCCGTTGGACAAGGTCAAAGAATGTCTGGACTGTGGTTTGCATCCTTGAGTTTGTTTATGTGTGCATGTCTCAGTGCGTTTCATTCCTTGTAAATGTTAATGCACGGTTCTGTCTGTGTTTAACCGAATCCGTTGGCAGCTGCCGCCGCACGTTAGTGACGAATGTACAGTGGGTACGGAAAGTATTCAGACCCCCTTAAATTTTTCACTCTTTGTTATATTGCAGCCATTTGCTAAAATCATTTAAGTTAATTTTTTTTCCTCATTAATGTACACACAGCACCCCATATTGACAGAAAAACACAGAATTGTTGACATTTTTGCAAATTTATTAAAAAAGAAAAACTGAAAAATGCTCAGTATTTAGTAGAAGCACCCATTTGATCTAATACAGCCATGAGTCTTTTTGGGAAAGATGCAACAAGTTTTTCACACATGGATTTGGGGATCCTCTGCCATTCCCTCTTGCAGATCCACTCCAGTTCTGTCAGGTTGGATGGTAAACGTTGGTGGAAAGCCATTTTTAGGTCTCTCCAGAGATGCTCAATTGGGTTTAAGTCAGGGATCTGGCTGGGCCATTCAAGAACAGTAACAGAGTTGTTGTGAAGCCACTCCTTCGTTATTTTAGCTGTGTGCTTAGGGTCATTGTCTTGTTGGAAGGTAAACCTTAGTTCCAGTCTGAGGTCCTGAGCACTCTGGAGAAGGTTTTCGCCCATTCATCTTTCCTTAATGCACGGTTCTGTCTGTGTTTAACCGAATCCGTTGGCAGCTGCCGCCGCACGTTAGTGACGAATGTACAGTACATCAAAATCAGCAGCCGTCATGCAGAGAACCGAAGTTTATCAGTCTGTTTACCGCCGCTGAAGAATCTGTCTCTGTGGTGGTTTTGTGGGGCTGGTTTATCTGGGTCTTAAGATCTACATTCCTCATTGTGTCACTCGTATTTGGAATTTCACAGCGTTTAACTCAATGACCCGCTCTCGACGGCGAGTGCGTCCACTTGCATTCCCTCCATCTGACACCCGAGTGTGACTTTTTGTTGTTGTTGTAACCCAGCAGACACATAAATAGCTTGACCACATTATGACAGTAAGTGCTCTAATTAATGATACAGAAACCGAAAGAACAGAAATGTTTTCATGCTACACATTGTGACTAACATAGTGCTTAAAAATAGATTATAAACCATGGTTCAACAATCAAAGGGGTCAAATTTGAGGTAACTCCTCCCCTTGATCCCTCAAACCCTGACATCAAAGCATCTGAACCGAGGTCAATGACAAATAAGAGTGTCTACGATAAAGAAAAATCAGTCACACTTTATTTTAAGGTCCAATTCTCGCTATTTATTAACTACGACTTTTGCCGCAATAAAATCCAAATTACTGCTTAGTAAGGTAGTTGTTAAGTACAGGTATTGGGTAGGATTAGGGATGTAGGATATGGTCATGCAGAAAATGTGCTTTATAAGTACTAATAAATAGCCAATACACTAGTAATATGCATGCTAATAAGCAACTAGTTAATAGTGAGAGTTGGTCCCTATACTAAAGTTTACCTAAAAAAAACAAACAAAAAAAACCGTTTAAAAATCTACTTTAAAACATGTTGAGGTTTTAGAACTATGCTCTTAAGCAAGCACTTTGTTTTATTTCATATAATATTTATATCTTGATTTTTATTTATGGTGTAAAAACAATTTTATATAATTTAAGAAAGGATTACATTTAATTACTCTAAAAACATTAATATTGTTAAATATCATTACCATTTAAAATAACCACTTTCTATTTTAATATATTTTAACATTCTAATAAAAAATATTTTATTCCTGTGCATTTTCAGCAGCAGATTTTAGTGTCAAATTCAGAAAATTAAGACATGCTTATCTTAGAACAGGTATGTTAAAGTCATTGTATTTGTGAATAACAGTTTTAATGTATTTTTTAATAAACTGATATAATTCTAGTCATTGACGCACAGATGTGCATAGCACAATAGACCTTAATCAGGTTAGATGCCATATCGTGGGAAGTCGTGGCCTAATGGTTAGAGAGTCGGACTCGTAACCCAAAGGTTGCGGGTTCGAGTCTCGTACCGGCAGGGATTGTAGGTGGGGGGAGTGAATGTACAGCGCTCTCTCCCACCTTCAATACCACGACTGAGGTGCCCTTGAGCAAGGCACCGAACCCCCAACTGCTCCCCGGGCGCCGCAGCATAAATGGCTGCCCACTGCTCCGGGTGTGTGTTCACGGTGTGTGTGGGTTCACTGCTGTGTGTGTGCACTTTGGATGGGTTAAATGCAGAGCACTAATTCCAAGTACGGGTCACCATACTTGGCCACATGTCACGTCACTTTTTTTCACTTTCATACTGAATTTAACGCGAATGAAAACGAGGCTGTGAGTTTTAATTAAATCATGTAATTTTCACAATTCACTACTGTTTTATGGAGTTTTTCTACCAAAGGAGTTTTTATAAGGACGTTTCATCAGTCATCTGTATGTTGTTAAACAGCAGTTCAATAAATTGAATTAACTGTAATTTAATCCCTCATAGCTTTGTCATTCCTGGCAAAAATGAAATATGGGACTGTCCTGACTAAGGTCTGTTGCAAGATTTCTATATAGTATTTTTGATATTACAAGATGTTGTCAAGCAGGCTCAAGTATGGAGTTGAGGCTTTAGCAAGAGAAAACCAACTTTTTTCTTCAAGAATGAGTCTACTTGAAGGCTACAGCAAGGAACTGAGTTATTAACGCTGTAGGTCCCCAAAACAAAACGCTAGTGATGTTCCTCCTCCACATACCTTTGGTTTGCTCCGTGACCCTGCATCCTATCATCAAAACCCACACTCCCGTGATAAGGGTCATCCTGCCAAAGCCCACAGTCAGTCTGGCCAGGCTCATGTGAGTGATAATAGCCTTTAAAGAGTACTGCTGGAGATAACCTAGGCCATCTTCAGAGGAAGTACATTTATTTCCCTTCAGCCCAAGCACAGCTGTGACTCCTGACCCCAGGATGTAGCTATTGGCCAGTCGTGATGCTGCTGATCCTGATAACAACGGCTTGTTGCTTTAATCAGAAAGACGGATTGGTCTGTCTGTGTGTCGTTTGTGTTTGCCTTGTTGTCTCATCCATCTAGGTATTCAGATGCCTGCGTGTCGCTCTGCAAGTCAAGCAACCTTTCCATCTTTGTTTTCCTGGTTTTCACTCTCTCTTTCTGCCTCGGATAATCTAACTACCCACTGATCTGTGCTCTGCGTAAGGCCGTTCTCACAGTGTCTTACGTTTCGTTTCTTCCCTCCTGACTCTAGATTTTTTGACCGCACTAACTCTTGCCCTTCCCTTGTCCTCTCTTCCTCACAGCCGCCTGAACCGGAACCGGCTGCAGGTCCTGCCGGAGCTGCTGTTCCAATCCACACCCAAGCTGGGCCGACTGTAAGTCATCGCTTCCCTTTGATATCCGTGCCTGGAAAAGCTTGCGGTCAAACTTCCCACTGTTTTAATTTTGATCATTGTACTGGAAAGGATCTTGCTTAAATATTTGACTTTCCCAAACGCTGTTTAAAGGACGCTGTCAGTGCAGGCATGTTCTGGGTGTTATTCCTTCAGCCCATCCAGATGTGATTCTCTTAGACGGACCGGGAATCCGGGCCAAGCTTAATGTGACACGACCTCTCCCCGTGCTCTTGATGGAGAGGAGAAGGTGTGCTGGAGGGAATATTTTCCTTGGATAAATTACATTCTTATATTCTGAATATTTTCCTGCTCTGCTTTGAATCAGGGACATTTTTTGGCTTAGCAGTCGGGGGATACTTCATTTATGAATTTACAGTCGTCAATATAACTAGCGCGATCAGGTCTGGTCTGTGCCGGAGCAAAGGTTTACAAGTTAAGCTTTACAAGTGTTTATTTGAAGCTGATTGTGACACAGGAGTCACTCTAGACCACCATTAAGTTCTGTGAGCAGCTTTGTGTTTCTGAAATGTTTCCATGAAGCAACAGAGATTAGATTGACTGGCATTTGAAGCTTTTTATATAATAGTTTCCTCGGTTTGAAAGATTTCTAGACATGAGCTCGTCATTTACAAACTACTACTATTGCATTGCACGAATATACTGTATGACACATGGTTGGTCACAGAAGTCAGGACTGCAAATCTTTTTTATAGCCAGAAACTCATAAAACATGCTTTTCTAGCTTGATATTAATGCCATTATATAGACTAGAATTGGAAATGACAGTCCCGATTTCAAGCCGATATGGATAACCGATACTGATACCGATAACCCGATAATAATTTTCTGATATAATTTCATAATGATAAATTCTAAAAATCTCAAATTAATAAATGCTGCAAGTGAATGTAGGCATCACATTATAATGTACCACATGAAAAATCGATTTAAAAAAAACGGTCGCTATTTGGCTGTTATAATATGTATTAGAAAGTAGATTGTGATTGTGCATCCCTAATTTCATGAAGGCAGAGGCAGCGTTAGATGCTATTTATACTAAGTGCAAATAGCAAGGATGCTGTTTACACTATGTAAAAATAGCAGCATTTTCTTTGCAATAAGTGTAAATAGTAGATGCTGTTTATACTTAAGTGCAAAAAATGGCAGATATTTGGCCCTCTTTATTATAGTCCATTATAAAACAACATGCGGTAATAAAATATTGAGAGTAAATTGTCATATTTCTTAAAATTACTAAATGGATGCCACCTTATATTGGGACAATAAAGCCCTCCCTACACCTACCCGATAAAAATAACACCATGCACTTTAGGGCTGACGCCACTGAGCCTTTCGTACAACACACGTCTTTTGTAATGTTGTCTACGCCAACCAGACATGGGTGGGTGGAGCTAGTGTAAATAGCCTCTGCCAACAAGTTGGGCTATTTGCACTTAGTGTATTTGATATTTATCTATTATAAATATATATTTGATACTTGTCTAGATTTTGATATTTGTCTATTACAGGGAGAGAATGAGCAGGCTGAGGTAGAAGTACGAATGTTTACTATAAACGTCTCTTCTTCTCTTTTCCAACAGCAAATTTAAAGTACAGTTTATTTGTTCCATCTCGTTTTAACATTTTCTAAATGTAAACCGGAGTACGCCTAATGAAGATTGTCCAGGGCGGGAGCGGTTTATGGCAGGGTTTGTAACCTTTCCTTGTCAGGGTTCGTTACGCTGGTTGACGTTAGTGCGATATGAACGGCCTCACCCGTAACCTTCCCATTAAAAACCTCAAGCGCGGCCAGCTGGGGAAAGCAAGCCGAGTGTGTCGCACACAGGAAGGGTTAGGACTGGAAACACTGACAGGGGTCAAGGAAAGGTAAAGAGCACGATTTCACAGATCGTGTCAGAAGAGTTACAGATTTCACTGTTTGGGCTCAGAAATGCACCTCATACTCAGTGCGAGCACACTTACACACTTTATCCATGGGATCGGTCAGGCTTCTAGAAGTTCTTCCACCCTTGCCCTGTTCTTAGAAGGCTGGATCTTTCCGTCTAGCCGGTGAAACCGAAATAATGAAAAGCGAATGACGAATTGGAAAGCAGCCTTGAACATGCCTGCTCCTATTTATTAACGGTGCAGCTAAATGAGACCTTATATTAACTTCAGTTCCTGTTCGGAGACGGGCCCCTGCGCTGGTAGTGTAGGATATTTCGGTCAGCGATACCCATGAGACCCAGCCACTCCCTGCATTAACCCGAGCTCAGGTTGCATGTGATTGGTGCATTAAGAGGAATAGGAAAGCAGAATGCATCATCTTGTCTTATGTCCCCTTCCCCTCAGCCAATTTTAAATTTTCTCTCTTTAATCTTCTGGGTGCAATTATCCTGGCAGTTGGTTGGCATGAAATGACCACTGGACAGCGGCGATGGCCTTTCATAAATACACAGATTGATCAAATCTCGAGTTTGGGTGCCGAGGCTGGACTTTTCTTCCCTCTGAGAGCACGTATTTGTTTGCCATCACAAAGGACATCTTTTGTTTCTCTCGTTCTATCCATGACAAGTTTATTTTCCTTCCAAACGTTTGTTTTCTTTTGTTTAACAGAAACAAATCGCTCTCCCACACATTGAGTTTTCTCCCCTCGTGCTCTGCCCCGCTCCTGTTGGCCTGAAGCGGTGGAGTTCAGCTCGACAGATGGGCAGGGGGTCTGGCTCTCTCAGCCTTGCAAACACAAACCATCTCTCAGCTCCTGCCTGGATCTCAAACATGACTCCAGAAGTCTGCAGACTCTCTGAAGCCATTTAGCTCATTGGTTCCCTTAATGAGCTCTCCATAACGTGCTTCAAAACGATTGCTGTTTTTACAGAGTGCACTGTGCTTTTAAAGTCTTGTAATGACTTCTTATGGCACAGTTAAGCGATTGGTTAATGACTTATTAACCCTTATTGCAGCTTCACCTTGGAATATTGTTCCAAACCTGTGTGATTTTCTTTGTTTTGTTGATGACAAAAGGAAAAATTTGGAAGAATATGCGGGTCGTGCTTTTAAAAAGAATGTGGACTAGAGCTTGCATACCATAAAAGTCCCCAAAACAGCATAAAAATACCATAAATGTGGTTCATACAATAGTTGCGCTTTGTTCAAACTTTGCTAAAGTCAGCTTTGTGTGAAAAAACAATCGAAAGTTAAGTGGATATCCACTAAAATATTTTTCAATCCAGTGGGCTGTTAATTGCTGAGACCCAAAATTAATTTGTTGACAATTCTGACTAATTTAAACTTAGTGACTAAACCTATATGGCAAAAAATATAAATTTTTGATAACCAAAATATATTTGAAATATATGTATATATAATATAATGCTTTATTAAAATTAAAATGTTTTATGTTTAAACTTGTTATTAACAACAAATATTTTTTTTCTTCAAATGTCACATATGTGAATGCATTTTCTTAGACTGAAATATATGGAGGGCAAAATATATTTTGAAATGCTTTAAAAATATATGCATACATTAAAATACATTTTTTAAAATATACAAAAAATATATTAGTAGAACATACATGTACGTAAATATTTTTTGAAACATTTTAGCCTTTTTTTTTTACCATTTTTTGTATATTTTGAAATATATTTAAAAATACATTTGAAAATATATTTTTTTTGCTGTAGGATGAAAAGATGTCAATTAAATGTTCACAAATCACTACCTCTCTCAAGAAGTCTCATGAATGCTCATAGAGAGCTAGCTAGGGTGGATTTCCAGTCTGTTCCTCTCACATAACCATTGTATGTCTTCAGAAGACTGGGAATATAGTGCATGATTCATATGAACTACTTTTACAGTGCTTGACAGTCTCAGTCCTAATTCGCTTTCATTATAATGACTGGCCGGGACTGACATGAGGGTGTATAAATAATGACAGAATGTTCATATTTGGGTGAACTACTCCTTGAAATATTTGGGTCCCGAAAAGCTATAATAAAAACAAGCAGTTGTTGCTCTGCTGCCGTATAAATGGTGGTTATCAAGTAATAAGGGATAATACTGTAACTCTGTCATTATATCGCTGTGTAAAGCGATGCAGTGTTTGTCTACCCACAATAGCTGGCTAATAATTCAACATGCCCCAAGCACATAAACCATAGAGCTCTGGCTCAGGGCTTTCAGAAGAGGCCTACTGATTGTTTTCAGAGGAATGAACCCTCTCTGAATCCAGCCAAGCGTCTTCCAAAATAGGGCTGCGCTCAGCCGGTTTCAAAAAGCTAGACAGCTTTGTGATTTACTCCAAAGACATATTTAGATAAATACAAGCTACAAAGACGTTGGAGCCCTGACAGAAACACAACTATATACAGAAAGCTCGAAGACTTAACTTTTTTTCTTGAATTGTGCTGCTTCCCAGGGTTGTGAGCTGATTGATGTACACTAAGGGACTTTGAAATTCACAGTTTGGACCTGGTAGTGTGAAATGGGTGAGCTTAACCCCCAAAGGCAGATCAGTCAGAGGAAGCTAATATTCTCCTACCAGAGAAATGTTAATGACCTGCTGTGCTGTTCTTAGGTGGAGGCAGTGGCATTTGCCGGTAGCTTCTTAACCTTGTCAGACTCGAGGAAACCAAGTACATGTGGGTCAGGCAGAAACCAAAGCGGACATCTGCTTGAGTCACTGCTCACGCAGCACTTTCTGTTTCTGCTGACAGAGGAATGAATAAATAAACCTGTTTACACTGTTTTGGTGAAGGAATGAAGTTGCATAGCTTTGTTTTTCGTAAAACTGCTACAGAGAGAATGCCAAGTATGGAAAGTGTGAAATAAACAGTTAGATGGTCATTAAAGAGTTTTGAATATATACAGTGCCGTTCAAAAGTTAGGGATCGGTAAGATTTTTAAAGAAGATTCTTATGCCCATTGTGGCTGAATTTATTTGATCAAACATACAGAAAAACAATGTAATTTTGTGA